AGGGTAAATAGCCGGCGGAGATTTTCGCTTTTCACTCACTCAACACACGGTTGCTATGTGACCATGGTCCATGACCATTGATTGATGTGATTTTAACACCGCTCGCATACGAGAATTGAATTGAATTGGTAAGTGCACACAGTCTTGATTAAATTTGTGAAGCAGTTTGATGTGTTTGTTTGTTTCACTACGCGCGTCTCTGCACATTAATATTAATGCACGCCCGTGTGTGTGATTAGGTTATCATGCGGTTTCGAAATTACTTGCCTGTTACAGCATGAAGGATCGCGCTAGCGAATATTTGAGGTTATGTGTGAAATGTGTGTGGATTTCTCTGCGTTTGAGCGCAAATTTCGAAATTCATCGCATAGAAACTTGCAGCGTGCGCGCTCGAATAAATGGAAATTGCAGTCTGAGTCCCCGAGTCCATCGGTAGTCATGAGCGGAAGCTTTTCAGTCGTGCGCATAGCCGGCAACCCAACGTACTTTGCGCTAATAGGCTAGTCGGTGGCGGCTAGTCCTATTAAAACCTGTTTACAACCGCAGCGTCCGCACGATTTAATTGCTGAAGTGGATTGTGTTGTTTGTCTCGCATTGAAAATAGTTGCAAACTCGGAAACAAGTAAAACATGTTTATCGGATGCCATGGATGCAGTTTGGTACGATCGTCGTTGCACGGTTGCACGTCGAAGAGTTTCGCGAAACTTTAAATTGTTATTTACTCCAATTAAATTAGCCGCTTCGAGCGCGATGTTGAAATCGATCGATTCAACAATTAGCTCTCTGCAACCCAATACACATGAATGGCTGACAAAGCGCCAGCGGCTAGCCTAAACTCACGATTGTAAGTCTATATCGATTTTTTTTCTGTGTGACGCATAAACGCGTCAACGAGTGGTTTCGTACATTTTTGCATTTTGTTCATTTTATTCGAGCGCTCATTCGTGAATTGCGCGCGCGCTGGCTCTCAAGCTCGCGAGCGTTCTTGTTTGTTGCATTGTTTGCGGAGGCGGTTTTTGTAATTATAACGAGCTCTCTTCACGAGAGTAAACCGTACGTCGTACTTACACACAGCGCGCAGTTTACAGTTGCGAAATAAAACAACTAGGCACGAGTACTACCAACGTGCGCGCGCGCGCGTTGTGCAGAATCGGGGGAAGGGCTAAATGCGAATAATGGAAAATAAAAACACGAAAAGAGCAATTAAAAATTTTACCCGAAAGACAATGGCCGCGTACGCCGCTCTTCAACTGAACAATGCGGTATTTCCATTATTATTTATTTGCTCTTCACATAAGTGCAAAGTGTAGCATACAAAAACCAGTAATTTTTTATGACTGGGCGAAAAAATATTGTGGGGAAAATTTTCGGGAGGAAAATTGAAAAATAAATTAAGGGTTTAAATTTTAAATTACATGATCAAACATACAAATTGAATAATTTGCATATTTCTTCATTTTAATATCGTAATTTCTATTCGGCCATCTGCCGAAGCTTAGAGTCAGCGGTCAAGGTGTAAAGCGACATAAATCATGAATTAATAATATTTATCTCATCATTATGCACACCTTAAAACTACCCCTAAATTACGGATGCGCCGTGGAGCGTTGATACACATGTTTTATTGTCGCTTATCAATCTCGTTTGGTTTTTTTTATTGGCTTTTACTTTCTATAATATATTCCGATCTAGATTAGGACGTAAATAATATCTTTAAAAAGACTGTCTTCGTTTTAAAGCATGAAATTACTCCGTAGTAATAAATATTTGAAACATCTTAATAAATGTTTTTATTTTTTTGTGTGTTGAGTGGAATTTGTTTAGAAATACCTTCGATGGGTCGGTCGTACCTAAGCGCTAAGTAAGTAGAAAACATAATACGAATAAAAAAGAAATAAAACACGATCACAAGGTCTGGCGGCTCGAATTTAACACCTTTGTTTGGCTACAAACAAGAAGTGAAATGGATTTGAATTAAATTCAATTTGCACCAGTGGTGTTCGACTGCGGCGGTACGACGAGTGCAAAATGAAGAATTGCCGATTGTGGCCTTTTTTTCTCTTCCTCCTCATGTTGCGTCGAGTTTCGTGCCCTCTTGCTATTGTCAACTTTTCCTTTTTCTCTTTTCTTCGATTTTCTTGCGAAGGTTTTATGTGATCAAACAGAGTTTTTAAATTACTCACAAATACCTGCCTTCTGTGAGTATACTGTGGTCACTTTGATAAGTACAGAAATGAAGTAATCAAGAGGTTTGATAAAGTTATAATTCGTAGCGAATATCGAACGCTAATCACAATATCTCACGCGATTTTGCCTTGCACGTAATTTAACACGAGTGTTGTATACACTCCATTCAGTACGTAATGTATAAAAAGCCCTTAAAATGAGATTCCTTTTGTGCCCGGCGACCACCCCTCGGAAAAAAAGCTTCGTATTTCTGGTGCTTGCGGCGCAGCGCGTCCCTTCGCTTCGGGCTCATAATAGTTCCTTGCGTTTAGCAACCAATTTTCATCGTTTATGCGCTCGGCGAAAGCAAATCTACGCACAAAGCCCCAACGACTGCGCGGATAACATCTGATGATAAAAAAACGTGGAGTCAAATGACAAGACTTTTAAATTGGAATTGATTAAAAGCGTTGTATTTTGAGCAGGCGCAAATAACATATTAACACGAATTAAAGCGTATCGGAAGAGCAACGGAAGTAAAGTGAAGTAAAACTAATTTAATATATGCGCCTGAAGACATAAAAAAACTGTTAACACTTTTTTTATATTTATTTCAATATTGAGTAAGTTTTAACTTCAAAAGTTTATTTTTTACTTGCAGCTGTTAATAATTTTATATTATTGTTTTATCATAGTTTCCACTTGATTAATTCAACAGGCATATGTTGCTTTGACCATTAATAAATTATAGAGTATTGTGACCGATAACTGATTACAGTTTTCCACCTCTGTTGAGGGTACAATTTGAAAAATTGTAGGAATGTCCGAAAAGTGTGCCGTGCACGCGACCCCTAATCAAATGCGCCAACATTTAACTTAAACTTTAGTGCCGTTTGTGCCCCGAAAAAAATACGCATAGAGAGAGCATCGGCTTCCGGTGGCGAACACGTTTCTAATTAAATAGATGATTTTTGTTTGCTTAGATAATCATTTAATGTACCCCTTGTGTGCGCGGGGCGCACGCACTAACATGACTATTTACCCTCCCATTCGGCGACGATAGCATCTTTTCGCTATACGAAGAGCGTTATCGCTGCGAGCATCAAACGTCGAAGCATGATCATAATATAAGTGCACACACACGCACACAATATACACACTCAAATAAATGCATACTTGGTGTGTGCGCGCCCCGCTCAGCGAAAAAAAACCCTCAAACCGAACACATTTAGTACACTTTTAGGTACCTATTTATATTTATCAGGGAATGAAGGACTTGGAGGAGGCGCGCGTGCATGAATGTTCGTACTTGGTTAGAGTATTAACATTTCTATAATTTTTGAAGTTTTCCGGCTTATTTAGGGGTTGGTGGCGGGTTTGTTGGGCTTTTATTGCACCAGGCACACGGATGGAATTAGAGAGTATTTAGATTTTCGATGCGATTAGATTTTTAACGTTGATAATCTTTAAAAGTCAGACGATAAAGTGCATTGTAACCGTGGCATAGTAGTTTATTTATTAATTTTATATCTGTGATGAATAATTCGTTTATTAGCATTTAAATTATTAAATTATTTTATTTTGGGTAATAATTGTTTAGTTTTAGTAAATTTTTGCAAAATTTTTGCGGTTGTTTGACTATTTTTGTGGAATTTTTAACAAATTAACATAGATTTGTAGTTTAGATTGTAATTCCGCATCTGCATTGCATAATTCACAAATGACAAATGCATTCGTGTAATTTAAACGACTCCTGTGGCTAATTAAACGCCTTCGTTGAATTTATTTGTCACGTGTACTTCACTTCGGGCACAAAACGTTCTTTTATTTCGCTGCGTTTCATTTTTTTCTTTTTGTTTTCTCCCGCTTTACAATTCGTTTTACAAACATTTGCAATTATTATCCCCCTTGGTTGTTGTAATTCTAGACTCTACGCAGTGTCGTAGCATATGCCAGCGAAATTATACATTACACTGTCCCAGAAATACAGTTTGTGTAAGTTTGCGTTCGAAACGCCCTTGAAAAACATTCGATGTAAGTGAATCAATGCGATTTTCTGGTGTGCAAGTTCACACCTTTCGACACTGCATGGGGGATGTGCCTCTGGAACCGCCCGATCATCCCACTTGCAGTTGTTGTTCAATATAAATCCAATACTCGCATTCACTCGATGTTAATTATCGGTTGCTTTGTGCCGCGCGGAAATAGACCACGGGTGGGTTGCGATGGGCGGGCGGTTGAATTTCGATGGATATTTAACGCGATGAATATGCGCGCACAATGAATTCAATTGAGTAGTAAAAATATGGTTAATATTATTAGGTTAATAACGGGTTTACTATTACGCATAATTGCAGGGAATTATTTCCGAATGATTTTCAACACACAAATTTCAAGAACATAAAAGTTGCAAGATTTTTTATCTTAAAAATACAGCGGAGACAACATAATTGCTTGAATTTTGAGTGATTTGAACGACTATACACATGGGGTCACACGCCACCCCTATTAGAATAATGTACTAGTACTATAACAATGGCAAACATGGACAAAACGCTCGAGTCAAAGCGTGAACTCATCCCTACATTCGCAGGAATGGCAGAGAAGAAGAATAAACCCCAGTACCTAGTGTTGTAATAAGTGAGCAGATGTTCTAAAGGGTTTGCCCAGCAGTAAGATTAAACTCCAATCAAGTATTTTCGTTTTTCTTTTTGCATTCACTTGACTCTATCTCGATGCGATATTGATTAAACTCGGCCATCATTTTTATACACAGAATTCAAAGAAAGAGGATAGAAAAATATCAAAATAAAAACAAAATAAACAAGCTGTGCTTTTGGAATGTCACGAATATCATCTAATTTCCATTTATTTCACTTTCGTAACAACAATATGTGGCTACACAATTAATTTAGATAGTTGTTAGTTTAAAGAGTATTTATGTGTATGTGTGGTTGCATAGTTTTCATTTACAAATTGTGATTTGTAAAGATTTTATGTACAAATTATTTCCGGCTGTTTGGTTTTAGTCATATAGTAGAAAATAAATACAATGAATATGTACAAAGCATCACTAATCTTAACATAATTATCATTAATCTTGCACATTCTTTTTTAAATATTTAGCTTAGTTATATTTAAAACACCAAAAAAACACAAGCTGTGCTTTTTTGGCGCAGTGTTTACGCGCTGTTTCTGCACTCTTGTATAAATATAAATATATACAACCTATTTGGCTAAAATGTTTTGTTCACTTTCTCACAATATGTTTACACACTTACACACACTGAAGTTTTTTTTCTCTGTTATAAATAATTTGTACTTAGTACGTTTTGCATCTCTGCTTCACTTTTGCTTCACTAGTGCGGCTGGTGTGTCGGGTTTCAGACGAGGCCCGACATTGGCGGTCGACTTACAGGACTCGATGGTAGGCTGTGCACGGCGGCGGCGACACTCGCCTGATGATGATAGTACAGTGAGCTCGGATAGCCGGCGGGGGGTGTGCCGACAGCGCCGGTGTTGGTGGAATCGCGTGCGTCCAACGGATGCGGATGCAGCGCTAACGCATGGCCCTGATCGAAGGGATGGCGGTTTGCCGCCGCCTCGTGGTAGAGTATCGGCACGCGTACCAGCCGCTGTGCAGCGTGCGCCATATTGGCCGCTTCTAATTCCGCCGCCAACTGTCGCTTCCATTTATTCCGTCGATTCTGGAACCAGATCTTTACTTGTGTTTCGGTTAGATGGAGACTGGCTGCTAGTCCTGCTCGTTCCGAACTGGAGAGATAGCGTTTCATGTCAAAGGTGCTTTCTAGTTGGAAAACTTGCGACCGGGAGAATACTGTTCGAGTTTTCTTCTTGCGCTTGTTCGCCAGTGAGCTGCCGGGGCTTAAACTGGCGTTTTGCACTTTTTTGTCTTTATCTGTATCGTAGTCGCTTTCGTCGTCGTCGACCTCCTCGTCGATGACCATACTTGAGTCGGATTCTCGGAAAGGACTTTTTGCGCGTGCTAGCGATAGGTAATTCTGCTCCAGATAGGATGTATGCGAGGTGGTTTGATGTGGACTGTTGGGTGGTGAACGATGGCCGTCGGGTGATGTGGGTCGTGGGCTACGATTGCTCTCTGATGATGGTAGTGTGGAGTGAAAGTCACGCGGTGAGTTTGGTGGCGATTGATCGTCATTGTTGGAGGTGCCGCCTGCAAACAAATTTCGAAAATGATAAACTTGTGTTAGGAGTATTTGCAGTCCGGTGGTTTCCGGGAAGCCCTGCGTGCACGGTTTGCTTGGTTTGCTTCTAATCGTTCGGAAGCCATAACTCTAGTAGTGCAGGGCGGATTTACTGACAGTTGCAGGCGCGAGATCGTCTTTCAGGTTGGAGTTTGCGTTATCGACGTTCAACTTACGTTAAATTGCTTTTATAAAGGAAATTGTTGGAAATTACGTGTAACGACCGAACAAGCCGGAAGCATTCAGGCAATAAAACGCAATAGTCCAGTTTTAACTTAATTATCGCTCAACTTCCATGCAGGAAAAGTTTCATAATTTTCAACATTGATTGTTTCCGTTTCAGTTGGGAGTTTTACGGGATTAGAAACCATAAAAAGGCACACGTTTTACTTTATCATTTATCGTGTAGCACGCGTGCACGCAAACTAATTGCTTCCTTAACGAAATTAAATGGGGAATGACAAATGGGCTGAGCACTTGTAGTGATTCGTCAACTATCGCTTACAAGTCAATAATTCATGTGGTCATAAGTCATTTTTACTCACCATTTGGACTTGTTTTCTCTTGGCTTAGTTGAGGTTGTAGCCGCCCCCAGTACCAAGGTATACTGCGCGGATCCGTCGGTCCACATAACGCTGCATAACGACTTGAAGCTGCCGCCAGAGCACCGAAATGTGACATAAGACCTAATCTGTAAAAATAACGCTCTATTAGTACTCAAATTATTTATTAATCTGTATTTGAGTAGTATTGGAATGTTATAATTTAAACATGAGAGGTTTACGAAATTTCAAAGGTAGTCTTGGGCCCCAACTTGCCGAAAGTCTGCAATCTGGGAAGTCTGGGTCTAATGGGAGGCGGCCGGAAGTAAGCGGAAGCACAAGGAGCCGAATTCCCTAAGAGGATTTAGTCCTCTGTCTCCTGCCGTCTGCTCTTGGTCTTGCGCTTGCTGGTGCAGGAGACCGCATTGGTCTTTAAGTGCTGCGATATCTTGACATGATCGATAAACAACCTTTTCCGAGGTGCACGGCTTGCGCTTGCTCTTGCTCTTAGGTTCTAAACCGCTTTGAGGACTTTTGAGGAGGTATTTTATATTTTTCAAATATAAAAATATTGATGTAGCATGTTTAAGGTATGAATACAGACCGTTTTGTTATTCATCCTTAAATATTTTGGATGAAAACGATGCAAAACAGTAAAGAATAGGGGATTTTGGGGTGGATTATCCTGCCAAGAGGTTTTGCAACTTTGCTAAGACAAACTAATCCAACAATCTTCTTATTTATACATTTTTCATGTCACCAGACAAGATATTTAACTATTTTCACAAAAAAACGCGTTTTATATGGATTAATATGAATTGTTTATGCTGTAATTACCTTGAAAGCATGTTGCTGTCGTTGTTACTTGAAATGGCAGCTTCGAGGACTTGCTGATGCGTCGGCAAGTATCCGTTTTTCTTCGCCGCGGGTTCCGCGCGGCTGAGAATACTCGAAATCGAAAAGTTTGTGGAAGCGCCCGAGTTTTTCGGCGTGCCCGTACTTTTTGTGCTATCTTTCGAGTCGTTTTTCTCTTCGTCCGCTTGCGTTTGCTTGATAACCGGAAAGCACGTGATGTTTGCCGGAACATGATGATTATAGCGATATTCAGGTTCTGGTGAATTGTTCCTCGATGTCGATTCTGGACTTGACACGACGTTCACTTCAATCTCTTTCACGGGCGAAGACATTTTACCGATTTTTTTTTGTTCACTGAAATATTTTATATTCACTGTGATATTATAACACTTTACACATGCGGATATGTTTAGTATTTAGTGTTGAATGTTTAGTTGTGAACAATAACTGTGATGCGAACAATCCGACGAGCACATTTGTACATTTGTACAATCAGCACACTGTGAATTCGGTTTGGTTTTCGGCGCGAGTGGCGACGACTGATGCCGTTTGCGGTGTAGAGTGGTTTACACGGGCCGGTGTGATGTTTGCGCCCGATAAGGGCGGTTATTTTAAGAGGACACACCCCCGGACGCGTCCTGGGGGGGAACACCCTGTGGCAGCAGCGAGCGCACCGACGGTGGTGCACTTCACTTCAACGCATTTCGCTCGTCCCTTTCGTTAAACCGTTAAAAGTGGTGTATCTCATACCAGACACTCCAACTCGAGACCATAGCAAACCCACCCCGTTGGGCACATGTGAGTGCAAGCAGGATAACCGAGGGGGTGAGTTAAAGTCCGTGAGTCGGTTTCGTTGAGTGGGATAACCGCGCACGCCTCACAACCTCACTACTGTCTTCTTGTTGGAATTGAGTCCCAAATATCGATGATGCTATTATTTGATTAAACGTGGTTTATTTGCTAAAATTTAATTTTTTTTTGAAGGAAATTATGTTTAAATAGGGTTGAAACATGGTGATACACGTTTGAGTTTCATCTCAATAGGCAGCCGATGATTTTCCGCTCGAATAAATGCAATGAAATGCGGCGGCATGTTGCCGCGCTGACAGGAACCTCCTCGTATCTAGTTGTTGGGCACAATCGCATGCGTAGCGAGCCTGAATGCGCGTATGTGTGGTAGCACTTTAGGAAGACGTCAAAACGCAAAGTAACAAATATCGACTGGAAAACCTCAGACGGCGGCGCCGATTGGAGGGCGGCAATTGGAAATCGTCGTCGGAGGGTAGTTTGGCGGCGTTCCGATTGGCCGGCGAGGCGGCGGTGCGCGCCGCCAGAGCATGTCGGGCGACAGATAAAGATGGAAGCGGCGACGGTTCTCTTGCCGCGCACACGAAGGTAGTAATATCGTCGTTTCATTGCGGGGCCCTCTTTTCTCGCACTCGTGCGCACAACAAAGCCGGAAAATACCCAAAGCACACGAACGTTTATACTCGCATATCTACTAGCAACGGGTTAAAACACACTCGCACACACACACAGTCGGCTTGAATCATTTACAAACTCTTGTGGTATGCCTGCTTCTCTGCTCATTCCGGGTGATGGCAGACACTACAATCGCTAGTGTTTGCCTTCTATCTAGTGGTAGCGCTTGTTTTACTTGTTGTACTTCAGCTGACAGGAATGTATAGTTGATGTTACACTTTCTTGTTGTGGGGGTCTTATTTTATAGGTGGTAATTAATGAAATTATTAGCGTCTTCACAGCTGGAATTAAATTAAATCAAAATTACATTATGGTATAAGATCTATACACGTCTTTATTTTGTAATAAATAGTTGATGACGGGATAATACAAACATCATGAAAATAATTACCTATTTCTTAATACAAAATTAGTTCATTTTTTTTACTTCCACCAGTTTTTACACGGTTTTAATACACAAAAAGTGGTATTTTAAACACGGACAGTCAAGGCCGTGACTAAAGTAATTTTTAGTTATTTTTAAAGTAAAAAAAATTCGAATTGATAAAAATTAATATAAAATTGCATAAAAAAAATTTTAATAGATATTAACAAACAAATATTTGCATTATTTGAATAATTTTTAGTTTATTTTACTCATTTTCTTCATTTTCTGTCTTTTTTAGAAGAATTTTAGGAGATATTTCGATAAAAATATCAATTTTCCGAAAAAAGCATTAATTTTATCAATATCTCTCTACCCGACAGTCAAAAACTAAGAAAATTTAAGTTTCTTGCGAAAAAACAACTTCATTCATCTTCAATCTTTCCCAGAATCTATTTAGGTATCTAGTCATCTTCATTCATTGCACAATAGCAAATAGAGTGTGATTTTTTTACGACTTGGTGATGATGGTGTTTGCTAAGGTGTCGTCGCCTCGAGTGTCAAAGACACATTCCGACACTTTGCAACTGCATATCAACGCTGGTATCTAACATCGCCGAATGCTAATCTCATAAGCCGTGCAACAATGGGGCTGCAGCGCGTTGCGTTGCGCGCGGGGCTGCCGAAAGATCGTTAGTGTTAGCAAAACAGTGCCATTCACGCGCTATTGTCACCCATTGTGTCGGCAAAAGGGTCTTAACCAGTCTTAAGTACACCTCTCTGCACAAGCAAGGGCATTAATAGCAAAATATCCGTGCTACGCAGCTACGTAGCTCCACTCTGAGCAGCGATTACAGCCGGCCGATAAACGCAACGCTTAGCGGAATTATTTACGCCCAATAAACACACACTCCACAGCCATCTTTGGCAAGTAATTAACATTAACATAATATATAATACGGAGAGACTTTTAATAAATATTAATAAATAATGGCGCGTATATAATTCAAGCTCAATTAGCAGACAACTCATATATGATATATCTGATCGCGCTGAAAGTAGTAACTACTCGCGAAAGCCTCGCCCGCGCCTATTATGATAATCATTTAATGCAACTTTAATTAAGGTTAATAAATATTATATTCATAAATTATCACTGCGAGCGCACAACACTATCGGTCATGTTGTAAATGTTCGTTTAATGCACCGCACAAACACAAATTAAAGCAAACAGTGTGTTTATCTAAATTATCACTACGTTTAAAAAATTTTAAATACGTGGATTATGTATTCAGATAAAACACACTGTATTATAAATAGTATCGAATGTATTGCTGTTATCAAGCAACTGGAACCGCAGAAATTGTTTAATGCGTTAATTAAATTTAAATTTAATTCGTCTCTTGCCAGATTTGATTTCGGTACAGTGCGAGAGGGTTTTTAATTTTCGGTAATAATATCGCAATTACTTTGCAATTGTTTTGATTCGTTGCGCGCACAATTAAATACTACTATAATATTATATTGTTAACACTTGTGGTGTGCGCTGATTCTAGCTAAATGGGCATTGCATATTTGTTTGGTTGCTACTCTTTTATTTATTTTATTCACTTGCGCGTCGATTTAATAATAAACGTGTGCAATTTATTCAAGTTGCAACAATTGATTGCTTACGGATATTTTTTTAAAGTTTTAATTGATTGATTTTTATTTATTTAACAAAAATTATACTTTTGTTTTTATTGCTTTCATAAAATCATTTAAAATATATATTTTTTTATATTTAAAAATTAAAATAAAAAATATTCTCACATTTTTATACTAATAATAAGTGTGTTATTTTGTGGTGAGTAAGAGTGGCTCTTCAAACACACCTTAAATACTTCTCAAACAGCCGTAGAGTGCTTGTGCCCTATTGAATTCAATGGACACAATATATTTTTGCTTCCTGAGCGTGAGCGTGAGCTTTTTGTGTTTGCTTTCGCTTGCTTCGGATGCTTTGGAGCGTGCTTAAACGCTCTCTTGGCATAATGCGTCAAATCTTTAAACACGCAAGCCTCTTACCATTATTATCTCGCCGATTACCATTATTGCACATTGTTGTGCATTGCGTGGCTCTTCGCTTCAATTATGCGCGTTTATTCAAGAACATTTGCTTGGGCATACATAGCACCACATTTTAAAAGCCCTCGCAAGCGGCTTGTTGCAGATTACCACTCTATTTGTAATTATTATGTAAGATGGGATCGATGTGTGTGCGGCTGTGGAAGCCAACACGAAACACCGACAATTTGTCAACATTTACCGTGCGAGTTGATGTCGTGACGACGCTTACGACCTAGCGTGTGAGACATCACGCTGTCTGAGTGGTGCTTCTTTCGTCTTCAGCTACATTGCCCGTGTTGTAACACCACTGTGAGTCAACTACACGCGTAAATGATGACTGTGGACAGCTGGAAATGTAAAAAACACTGAATTATTGATTTTTATATTTTTTTGCATTTTTTTTAGAAAAACTTAAATATTTTTTAAAATATTAAACATACAGTGTTGGGAAATATGTTAATTTAAATAGAATTTAATTGTCTTTAATTTGGTTTTAAAATATTTTTACTATTTTCGAAATCAAATGCAAAAATTAGGTTTTTTGAGTGTTGTTCTGAAGCCCAGCCCTTAATATTATATTGTTATGCCAGCAATTGCATACATGTCCACATTGTCCACGTGTCTTCTTGAGTCTCGTGTGTGAAAGGCACATAAAAGTGGATTCGCCATTAAGTCGTATCCAATATCGCCGCGAAAGTGCTTTCGGGCCTTTGTCCGAGCGCGCGGGCGGCCAGTAATATCGTTGTCTTTTGTTATTGGATCATGAATTGGGTTTCCGTCGACTTTCGGTGCGCGCCCGTCATGGACTCGTCCATTGCTGGCGGCCGCAACGGAGGCGGTGAAAGCCGAGAGAAAGCTCTATTAGCAGTCTTTCTTCCCTTAACCCGGGGAGCTTAGAGCGGCTTTGAGCTGTCACATAGCGGCTGCTTCTCTCTGCGTATACCCGCGCTTCGCGTATGTACGTGTGTGTTGCACACTATTTCGTTTTATTTTTGCGCAAGCAATATCAAATTTGTTTTGCATGTCATCTTGTTTTCCGCTCAAAACCGACGCGACGTGGAATGGATCTGTGGATGTGGATGCGGATGAGACGTGACGGAAATTTATTAATAAACAAAACAAAGCGATATTATCTAATCTCGTCGGTTGGCCGAATTGGTTGCGAATGTTGTGTAATGGTTCGCTGCGCGTTTGTACTTTGTTAACGCAGTCGCGTATTTGATTCTTTAGGGAAATTATAACTTTAGATTATGTCTCTAACTCGATTTGAATACCAAAACAATGAGGCGATGAGGGTGGCAAGAAGAGAATTTCACATTTCAACGAGTTGCGCCATTTGATATTTCAGACAGACTTATTTTCCGTTTCATAAAACAAATGAATAATTACGATTTTTTTTTTGCGAATTGCAACAACTTTACCGGAGATATCATGCGAAAGAAAACAAAATCGATACGCGTGGGCAGTACACGAATATGATCAATGTTTGTGTTTGCGCTCGGCACCAACTCATCTCATCACCAAATTGTAAAATGTCGATAGGTACATAACGAGAAATAGAAATGCATACCACCCAGTTAGTCAAAAGGGCTCTGTC